CAGGGAGTAATGAACAACTGAAGGCTCTCTCTGGTTCTTTTAATCACAGGGAGTTTATTGACCTTGGTATCATGCTGGAAATGCCAAACTAGACTGTACAGCCAAGCGTGCCTCAAATAGCACTGATGTTCCAGTCACCTAAAAAACAAAAGACAGTTGACTATTTCTGAAAGCATGTTTTGAATATATAACATAATGCATAAAATGGATAGAACAATTGTCTCAATAGTTAATTTTGCTTTCAAACTCTTTTGGAAAAGTGGACAAAAACAAAAAGCATATTTGTCTTATAATAATTTGTAAAGTAAAAAAAAAAGGGGGGGAGAGGGAAAGGATTCACTTCAGGTCTCCTACAAATGGGTCAGAGTAAAAACATGTGATATAAATCTCTGTCATACTGCTTCATTTTTATACAGATGTCCACATAAATTCTGATATAAATATAAAAATAATAAAATTACCCAATTATATCTAATAAAGTGATTCACTACATTGAAGCTCAGAGTTAATAAAGTTAAAAGATTCTAAATAATATTTTACTTGAAGAACTTTTATGTTTCTAACATATAAAATAGTATTTAAACATTTAAAATTTTGAAAATAAAGTTAATCCTTTACAAGTTTGGTGATAAAATTCATTCAAAACCAGGATCAACTTTCCATCTTTCCTCAAAACAAAATCTTAGATTTAAATCAAACTGATTTCATTTATGTGTCGGTGGAAAAGGCACAGTGCTGGGACACTGGTCGACATCTAATAAAACGTTGATGGCTCAGATTTTGAAAAATAAAACCAGTTTTATTTAGAAAGGCAAAGAAATAGCCGAGGGATTATGATTAGGAAATAAAATGTTACTAGCTCTCTCTACTTCGCTGCATACATATGATCTGTAAGCCAGAAAGGTTTTGGAGTACTGACAGAGAATTCACATCACTTTCACAACTCCAAGATTACATGTTAACAAAACTAAATGGTGTCAATTACCTGCTACTCTAACATGAAATGTTTAATTTACAGGTCCCTACAAGAATTTTAAAAGTCCAAAGAAAACATACGATTAGGTTAAAATTTAGTGTATCCCAGGTGAATTACAGAGATATTTTTCCCCATCAAAGTATAACACTTTAAATTGGTGATACTCAGAATCTAACAGAAGCAAAGCACTAAGTGAGGAGAATCAGTATTCTTAAAAGTATGCTGGTATTATTTCACTATTCCATCCATAAACGCCAACCAGTAGGAGACATGTTTAATTATCCTATCATGATTTTGGCAACTGGTCAAAAGAAACCAATAACTTTTCAATATACACACAATATTTAAAAGAATATTCTCATTGGAAGCACCAAACTGCTTATAGCACTCTTCAGATTAAGAGGCATGTTCTTATACGGAGTCATCTCTATCTTTATAAGCGTAGCTGCTATAGGAGAATGTAAATAAAGTTTTATTACTGAAAGTCTCTTTAAAAGTTACTTAAAAGCTTTTTACATTCTTAAAGAAATTAAAGACAAATAGTTATATTCTCCATGATTTGGAATTTCATTACTCAAAGTTACTTAGTACCATGCTGATTCAGAATTCAGCATAACATTAACAGGATCACTCTATTACTCTCACTATTTAGGTGAAATGTAGACAACTTTCTAGATTTTTAAAATATGGAAGATGCATTTAGGCAAATGTTATCATATATTTCTAATCAGATTGATAGTTCTCAGTGGCTATTTCAGAGATCTGTGCCAATTCAAAACATAAAATCAGTTTTTGGCCCTCCACCCAATAAATACTAGCAACTAAAAAGTTATCAGCATTTGAAAATTGAATATCCCCTTTCCAGAAGCGAATACCTAGGATGATAGATTCTAACAGTAAGACTATCTGATCAAGCACTTTTAATATTTTTTTCCTCTGTTAATCTAGATCTATGGATGCTTGTGGTAGCAATGGAGTCAATTACGAAAACAAACTCAATAAACTCAATAAGCTCAAAACAATAAACTCCTAGGATTACACAAGTTAATATAAGATATTTAAACCCTGTGATCAAGATGTAATACTTAATTTCTAATTGTATTTAAACATAATTTCAAATTTAAGTCCATTAGTATAAGCTAAAATATATTTACTTCATTTTACCAAAGTATCCCTTATTATCAGCTTAAGTGTCTACCGAACTTTTCTTATCTAAGAAAAAAATATTTTTTTAATGTATGGAAGTTACAATTAAAGTTTTCAGCTTTTTTCCAAAGGATTAAATCTTCTGATCTTATTAGTTTAGCCAATCCTAAAAAAATAGGATTTGTATAAAATCAGAAGGCACGGCATGGTTACTTCCCAAAACGATAACATTATTATTGAAAATAAATGAAAATAAATGTAAAATGTAAAACGAATTTATAAAATTTAGTAAACCCCTGCAAATTTTCTAAAATGTTTCTTCACTATCTTATGAGATAAACTGTGTTTATTTTAAGTTAGTTATTTTGCACTGGCTCTTTTTAAATTACATCCAAGCTGAATTATCTTAATACATCAAAAAAAAAAAAAAAAAAGAAAACACAACACAACATCTTCTTCAACATTTCCGAGGTAAGTCTGCCTATCAGTCCCTACTTTTACAATTATGTTATTTTTTTAAATAAGTTTTACTATGACAACATATGAAGATAAATGTACCCACAAACCCCTAAGAATACTAAAGTTAGACATGAATCTCTTGGGCAGGGGGTACATCATTCTTTCTTTTGAACATTATGAAAATGACAATGATGAAATAAAAAGGAATTTCCACAAGCCTCAAATTAGAATACTGACTTGAGAATACCCTTGGTGTTTTAAAATTCTACAGATTAACTTTGTCTGGGCAGGTTCAAAGCCACCATGGCATCCTGAGCAGAGTTTTCTACAGGCAGGGCAAATCTATTAAAAAACATGACCTGTGACAAAAATCAATGTGCTAATCTCAAACCAAACAACAGTATCAAAAGCATAAAACAGAGATAACCTAAGATAAAATGTCCTCAAACTAACTCAGACTAGCTTGACAGGTTAAGAAGGAGGGGTACGTGGGGGTGCTTCTGATTCCTTCTGTTTTAGCCTAGGATGACTGGAACACCCAAGTATCCAAATAAATTAACACTATGGGGAAAAGATCACACTGTGAAGTTTGGAGTGGGAAAGAAGACAACTAAGCACAAAATGCCCCACATTCAACTCACCAATTTCACTGCTGTTTTATTTAATAAGGCGCTGAAGTTTAGAAATATAAATTCCTCTATTTCATATATGCTGTTTAATAAAGCCCAGGGGGGAATAAAACCAACCAACATAATGAGACTTGCTTTTAACACCATCACAACTGGAAAGCTTGCTCTATTTGTCTTGTCAGCTTTAATAAAAGGCATCTCCTCTGGCAGGATGGCTTCTCTTTCTTTTCCTAATAGTGGTAAGTGGCATGTCAAAGAAGAAATAGCTTCCCATCCCACCACCCACCTCCATGAGGCTTTTTTTTTTTAACCAAACTTTCAGGGATGTCTCCACTTCTGCCAGGCGGTTTAATTTAGGATTTGGGCTACCTGGGTGTAACTATCTTTCCTGAAGTAGCAGGAGGTGGGGGACTCTCGGCCACCGGTAGACCGCTTATGGGGAAATCTGCCCATCTTCATCTGAGCTGACATTACTTCAAGCGAGGAATCCCTCCCATGTCTGCATAAGGGGGGAAGGCGGGAGGCCGACGGACAAGGCCGCCGGGAGGTAGGAAGAACCGGAGGCGCCAGCCAGCCCCCTCTCCCCATGCGCGCTGGGCGCTCAGCAACCAAAAACTATCCCCTCGACCTCCCGCCTCTCTCCTCCCAACTTCCACTCCAGCCCAAGGGAAAACCTGGGATTTTAGGTGTAACCGATGCTATTTCCCTCTTAGGCAGGCACCGAAACCAGCCCGCACCTGGAAAGCTGGCCTCCGTCCCAGAGAGGCAGAGCATTATGGGCCCAGCGAGGCCGACTGCTGCCCACAGGCCGGGAAGAAAGTAGGGCTCGGAGCTGCTCTGGATCCGGAGAGGTTCGCCCGGCACTCAG